TTTACGACCCCCCCCCTCCATCGCGGGCAAATACGACCCCCCTGTTGTGATGATCACAAAGATGGCGTGCCCTGCTGTCAGGTCAAGAGCCTTCCTTCTCCGTCCTTTTTCCTTATTCCCTCCTTCTCCCATCTTCTCATTATTTTTCTTCTTAAAGCACAGAAGAGTTCCGATGAGAAAGCGTTCTTGCGAGCCGACATGCCGGTTGACAGATGCCTTACAACCTTCCCTTGCAGCAAGAGTACCAAGATTTCCCTCGTTTTAATTTTCAAATGAAAAAAGAAGGAATGGAGAATAGGAAAGAAGAGGTCTGCGGTTGACACTCTTCTTCATTGTGCGAAATTTGTGCAAATTTTGCCAGGTTTTGAGTACTGCATGATTTCAGATTACCGCTCCGCAGCTCTACAATTGCCTGCAAACCACACAAAAGGTGAGGATACAACCATGTTTCTATCTTTCCCGTTTCGTGTCCTTTCACTCCTGACTTGTACACAACTGTTTCGGCCTTGCTGCGGACACCACCATGATGAGAGCAGTTAACTCTCGCTGGCTGGAGATTTGGCACTAATGTTGTTATTCCTTTGTTTGGTCTTACGATACTTAGTGAGATTTTTTTTGCATTCGGGTCCCATACTTTCCACTGATTTTTACCTATTCTCAGATTCATTTACGGACAACGTACAGTTGCACGATAAGAACCAATACGGATAGAAAGCCGTCTTTCAGAGTGACAACTGTGTGAGTGCATGTAGAAATGTCAGGACCGTCGAACTGTTCGGATCTTTACCTCATCTTTACCTCGGAACCTCATGAAGCCGGTGTTTTCCTTTATGCTGCTACCTTTCAATTTGAAGATGTTTTCTTTTATGCTGCTACCTTAAGTTGAAGATGTTTCCTTTTATGCTGTAACTTTTGAAGTTGAAAGATGTTTTCTTTTATGCTGTTACTTTCGAAGTTGAATTTTTTAAGGCGCACTTCGTCTATATGAGGCGGGAGGGCGGGAGTGGGCGGAAGGGTGGGAAGAGAACTTCTTCAAACAACGAATACCAGAAATATATCAGTATTAAAATGTGTCAACATTTACACTAACAGAAGCAGAAACTATATGATACACAGGATAACATTTTGGGATTTCAATCTCGCACGACTTAAGGATTTCTGAGATTACGGACTTTACTACATTACGACATCTTCTAATCAGCACATTTATTTCGACTTATTGTAATTCATTACTAATATTTTCACATATTCACTACATCTACATATTATTATACATGTAAAAATTGAAAATTCCTATAAATAACCTCTTTCCTAACGTCTCCTTTCCTTTTTGCAAATATAGACGTCAGTTATAGCACTTTGGTGCAATTGCAGAAATGTTTCATAATTTACGAATTCTATGTTCGTTACCTAATTCACCTCCATTTCTCCCTTCTTCCCTTCACCTCTCCTCCCCATCTCCATGTAAGGTGAGTTTTTATGCATGCCATTTATTTTCATTACTAAAGCTTATTTTTTTATTTCTACTTCATCATTGCATTGCCTTCTCCTCCTTTCCTTACTGAAGAGCACGGAAGGAGGATATTTATTGATTTGGTTTAGTTTCCGTCTAAGGGCACGTGCGAAACGGAAACTAAACTAACTTCCTTTGTTCCGCCCTCAAAATACATTTTTAACATAATCATTTACACAGTTGTTTTTTCCATTGCATGTTTTCTTTTATGTTGTTATCTTTGAGGGCGGGAGGGATGGGCTGCGAGTCGGAGCGGCGGGCGGGTGGGTAGGTAAAGAGCAGGCCGAACTGCGCCTTAACAATGTTTGTTCTTGACAACGACCATTTTTGTAAATATCCTTTATTCTCGAAGAATAAACTAATTTTATGTAACATTTTCACAACAACATCGCGGAACCTGTGGCGCACACTGTTCCCGAGAAGTAGATGGCTACAGGCGTCTTACCTGAAAGTTGTGTGTTAGCAACAAATACCGATGATGCGCAACAGAACAGTTTCCAATGCACAGGGGGGGGGGTCGTACCAAGACCCTTATTTGGAGGGGGGTCGTATTTTTCAGGAAATGATCACAACGCAATGGCGTGCCCTGGCTCCAGTCCTTCCTAAACAGTTGGTTATATTTCTGTATTCTCCTTTCTGCTTTCTTCTGCGATTTTAAAGAAGGTGTTCAACTGTGAGATGCTTATCGCCTTCAACTAGAATGCTCACGAGTGATCTAGTTGACCTCTTCTTATTGTCCTCAGAATTGATCTTTCAGACTGTCGACCTTCCACCTGGAGAGTCAGTTGCCAATTTGGAGTCGACGATCCTTATAGCGAAGAGCCTAACAAGTTGCTATCCTGCTGAGTTAAGTTAGGAATCATAAGGAATTTAGCTTTTGTACGATTTTTGCACAATCTGGTGTATCCCATTTTTTTGTAATATTTGCGCTATCTTGAGATGAATTGGAGAGTATCACTTACTTTTGATTGACTACAGCAAAACAAAAAAAAATCCCGTCGACGACTCCAAGTCAACGCCTTCATAGGCGGCGAGGCGGACGAAGAAGGACTAAAAACATCACAAAATCACAATAACAACGCGTAGTGCAACAGATACGCATAAAGAGCACATTACTAGCCGTTCACAAAAAATTGGAGGGTACACCTTACCTTTGATTGAAAAATCAAAAAAAAATCGTCGACGACTTCAATATAACGTCGTCATAAGCGGCGAGGCGGACGAAGAAGAACTGAAAACATCACAAAACACAATAATAACGCGTAGTGTCAAAAGCTGCGCATAAAAAGTACATTACATTCATCACATTACATTAGAGTTCTTACTTCCGATCGACTACATTGAAACAAAAAGATCCCTGATGATTCCCGAGGAAACCTTATGAAAGAAACACAACAATAATTTAAGAAAAAATAAGTGGAAAATTTAAAAATTCACCTCTCCTCCACCTTTCAATGCTCACCACGGGCCTGAAAAAATTAATAGGAGCAGAGAAAAGACAAGCATTGCAAAACAAGAGTTCATGAAAAAAACAAAAGAAAAATAATTGAAAATTACAATAACTCACCTCCCATCTACGTTCAAAGCTGAACACTGAGGACCAGATAACTGAAAAAAAAACTGCAACAAAAACTATAAGGTAAAGCCCTACAAATAGAAACCCAGAGGACACATGAAAAATAAAAACGAGGAAAGTTGGGCAGCGGATAAATGATTCAAAAAAAACTAGAGGAAGAACGCGAAACACTGCAAGAAGAAGTGAAAACACGCACATACATATAAATCGACAGGAACGATAAGATGACTGGGAATTAATTAGCAAATAATAGAGCGGACGGATGCGAAAGGAATACTCGGATGCAAATGCCGCGTACACGCGCTTCCGCTGTCGCGCCGCGGCAACAGGCTGACCTTGGTGAAATCCTAACCATTCCCCTATCCTTCGGAACCTCTCGAAGACGTCCTCCAACCCGTGCAATGATACAACAGTTTCGGTTTATACTGTCAAACGAAACAACAATGAATACAGAATGTGAGTCAAACTTGTGAATGAGGTAAGAGCTTGTTCAAAACAGCAGGTCACAAGGAATTGTGAAGAAAAAGTGACGGTCTTACGAAATGAAGACGTGAACTCGTCTGGAACAAGAAAAGAAACACAAAACACAGCGACAATCGAGGGCCTTTCTAGTGAACGACGGGGGAAGGTAGTTCGCTAGGATTAAGCCGAGTTGTGACGGTGAGGCTCATAGGAGATATGTAATCACGCCGGATGTCGCGTGTAACGGCGATTTTCACGCCGTCTACTGATTACTGATACAGCGTAAGCGTTAGCTTTGTGTTTTTGTCTGGCTCCATTTCAGCTTCATTTCAGCACTTCCCAGGCTGCGCTCGGCACGTGGCTCTGCGGACGGCCCTTTTTTTGTATGGAATGACACGATGTCGACGTCTACAGCTGCCGCTTGTGGAGGTGCATATACAGGTCTTGTCTTTGACTCATTCACTTCTCACTTCTCACTCTTCACGTCGTCTTAACATTTATGCAATATGGTTGATTATTGGTGTCATTTTACTACTTGGAAGATTTAGTTGATTTAATTGCTTAACTTTTGCGCATTTGAATTACTGTTCTATCTAACCTTAGAGTAGTTTCGGATATCATTCAAATTCTGCTCATCTGTGGTGAAACTCAATATCCTACAACCACCGAGTGCAAGTAGTTATTATACGGGACATGTTTGTAAATCCCGCGCGATCACACAATATGGCCTATCAGTGTTCGGCTCTGATGCCTTTGATCTAACAAATCCATAATCCGTCAGTATATCTTCAAACCGAATGGACTCGCCTCAACTTTCTTGTTCACTTGATAAAAGGTAAACCAGTGAACTATCAAAGTCGTACCAAACAGGAGCGCATTTCAATAACGACAAACTGAACGAAGCCGCATTATGTAATTATGTAAATTTCGTGCGAGGATTCATTTATAATCGGAACGATCATCTCTAATTTCACAATCCAGTTTCGCTCTTTTTGTATTCCTCCACTGAGCCGAACCTATGTCGAGTCAGCACAAAGAAGCTATACCAAAAACTCTTTCAATTGAATGATTGAGAGTGACAGTGAGTAATGACCAAAGCGCTTCAGTACCAGCGCGTATTTGGAAAAGCGGTTGATAGCACATTCCCAAGAATGGAAGTCGTTCTCTGACTGCAGATGACTATACGCCCACCATTCCTTTTTCCTCAAAGTGTGACCACGGATTGTCTCTCCAATTTTCAAATGACTTCACTTTTGCTCTCCCTCCAACTCTCCATTCATGTTTCCGTCCATTAATTCTAAACGTAATTTTTCGTGATGAAGATCTCATTGGAAGTAGTGAACTTGAGTACAGAATATATTTTATTAATTACATATTGCCTCGTCAAAGTGGATATATAAATATTGCACGTGAAACATCGACATTAGACGCCGAATTATTTTCTAGAAGTCATTGCCGAGCGATTTTAGCTTTGACACCGATGTGAATGGAGATCGCTGCGATCAGTGCAGCGAACGAGAATCCAGTGGACGCTGCTACCCAGTACAGGTCAAAGCATCGTTTATCCAACCCTGGAATACAAATAGATCCACAAAAATATGATGACGATACTCATGATTTTCCAAATGAGGATTTTCCTAAGGTTGTGACTTGCAAAACCCGTGAAACATTTTAGAAAATAAAGGGATTTACCTAGTGATGGAGAATCGCACTCATTGCCTGTACATAGAGCGGCTCTGACAGTTTGAGTTTCTCCGTCACCAGCTTGACGTCGTCGCTTCAAGAACGCTCCTTCGGCGTCGTAGAGAATGGAGTTCGTTGGAGAACTGATAAGATCTGGGCAGAATGGCGGCTGAAATTGAGAAACGTCTCAAGAAACAACCGTATTCATTAGTCCACATGAATTGTATGGTATACATGATTGTTAACACCAGTTTTCTATCGTTTCAGCTCGGAGGCTTTTGAAGGGGTGCGTACTTGTCCGTGAGGAATTATCGAGATGGCGGAGCATGTTTTTCATCACACTAACACCCTCAAATTTTATGTTCGCTATATGGAGTCGCTCTTATCTTGAAGAAGAGGTTTCGCCTCAGAAGCACAGTCCACGATGATCGTCGGTGGGATCAGGCCCCACCATTGTATCTCCTTCGATGCACTGCTTCGTTTTCATACGGTATTACGAAAAGAAGGAGCATCCTCGTGACAAAGCACAATAGTAGCACTGACACACCCATACGTCATTACTCTGTCATTTCTCTAGTGGGGTCATGTCAAGCCTTTGAGGCTGCTCGCAGCGGATTTCCTGACTTGTCGTTTGTCCTCCTTTCCAGAGTTTCCAGAGCTCGGGAGATATACCTTCAGTATTTCAAAGTTTTAAAAACTCTACTCTACTGTTCAGACGAATTAGTTTAATATTAATCGACGAGGACTGTGAAGCGAGAAAAGGTTCTGTTGTAAGTAAAGACCCACGCTGAACTCAATGGTAGACAGCGCTACAGTTCCTTGCCCTTTTTTCCAAATCAAAAAAAATCAAAGACTGACACTTGGGATTGATGCGCAACTGCTGATGTTGGTAGTGGAAGATGGAATATCAGAGCATATCGCGACATCACAGCGAATTCGCAGGCGCGTGTGATCTGGAACCTGGAATGAAAGCACGCTTCGTACAACATTTTTCTTCCAATTTTTCACACATCAGCGATTATCAGCGAGTCATCTTTCATAGTAAAAATGGTAGTTGAAAATAGAAAGGATCAAACTGCAATTCTGACTTTTGAAAACCCGGACTTCTCACCTTGAATGCCCATAAATGTGATGATGCAGTGTCATGGTACGTATCGTAATGTGGATGAGCGAAAATGCTTAAATCCGTCGAACAACTGGAAATTTTGATTGATTGTGTACGGAGTGGAACTCAAGAAAGGAGAGCTAGACCACTATAAAATTATTAATTGGTATTTCTGTGCTAGAGTACAATGAATAACAACTGCGGAATAGGAAGAGTCCTTTACAGGACTTACTCTACTTCACATTTGAATTTCATTTTTCCCTCTTCTTTCGCATAACACAACCGAAGCTTGTTTCGCAAAACAATCTTGAAGTTTAGGTTCTGAGAACCAGGTTGAATCGATTAAATCCCTCACCCCTCCCATTCTGCACCAGTCTTTTGACGGTACACTGATTCGAAGCCAGTTTCTTCGACGGTACACTGTTCGAAGATGAGTTAGCTGAGCGTGAGCTCTTTCCTTGTGAGGCGTTGAATTAGGCGGCCGCTACTAGACCGATGCCACTTTCGCTACGCTCAAGGTTGAATTGCTGCGTAGCTTATGCTGCCCACAACCTTCCCTCAAAGATGTAAGAGGCCACGTATAAGCATCACTGCACGGATAAGAATAGACTAATGTCGATTCGTACCTTGTCGCTGTTGGCCGCTGCTTTGTCGTCCCGGTCCCTCACCAAACGCTCCATGCATCCTCATTTCACAGTGATCAGGATTGCAGGTTTCTACCATTTCTTTTTTCCTTTGCCTCATCAGGAGGGTCACTTGTTGAACCGACAAAGCTCACATATTGAAGCCATTCGACGTTTGCTAATACGAAAAAAGTATCCCTTCCATGTGTACAGCCTCGCTTTTATCTGATAACTACAGGATCGGGCCAGTTGCCAACGCCTGAAAGTTTGAGAAAATTTCTAATGCATTTCCACCTACCAACTCACATCATTCCTAGTTGCGTATCTCCATCCCGGTATATACAATCACGTACGGCTCGTGCTCGATTCCGCTTATATCGTCCTTCACAACACAGTTTTTCACGTGAAAACCATAAGCATCTGAAAAGTTGTTCGGTATGGATGTATTGCCGTTAGTCAGCATTATTTTGCTTCACTCCATGCGTACCAAAAACGGCAGCCACCTTGGCTGTTTGGCGATACTCGGATGACAGCGCGGGAGTTCGGTAGATCACCCGGCTCCAACTGACATAATGCATCGGCAGAGGGTAAACGGATAGCTAGCGATGCGGATGGGGCCTGTCCTGCGTGATCATGGACTGGCGATATTCGAAAGAAAACCAGGAAGCGTTCCTACCAACTGAGCAAACAGCTGGAACCCCGTTTGGAGGTCTCACGATGCTGGCAGGCGACGGGTGACGTTGCACACATGCGCGGCATTTGCACTATAAGCAAACTGGCTTGGGACAGAAGTTCCGTTGTATGCCGACTCAGGTAACTAGGGAATACCAGCTAACTCATGATAGTCGCAAGGGGGACATTTAACCTGTATCTCCTACCCCACAACAGCCTCCCTGAAAGTGCCTGTCAGGAGTTGCGTCATTGGCTACCTTAAAGACGAACTATACACTCACCTCCGTGGATCCTAGCTCTTAACATGTGCGATGTGAATGGCCCGCAGCTGTACAAGCGTGCCATTTTTCCAGCGCGGGAACGGGGCTGGAGTGTTGCTCGGTTGCCGTCCGGGACTCTGCCCGAGCTGCCGTACTGCCAGTCACACACTTAACCATAGCCAAACGCGCTACTTGCCTGCGCCCTACAACTTCTGCTTGTTCTCTGCCGCTAATGCGGGTGTGAGGTCTTGGTATCGCCGCAAGTGCTGAACCTGCGCGGCAGAGTCCCAAATGCAGCCAGGTATCACTGCCCTTCAGCCTCACCTTACACGCTAGCTTCAAAGGCCGAAAGCTGTTTACACTTACGCTGCGAATCGTTCTTCTCCCCAATGGCCAGGACCGTTCTCGGACGTTGAGCAGCGTAACCTGTCTTTGATATCTCATAATCCAGGCGGGGAATTTTTCTGCGTTCTCCCCTTATCCCTCACTCTTACGTGCCCAGCAATCTCACTGTTCTTCAAGACTGGACTATGCAAATCAAGGAAACGGGTGCGGTCATTCATAGGTAGCCCCGAGCGTGTACAGAGTGGCAAAAGGAAAAAGAAAGCTGACGACCGTTAACAGCATTACGGATTCTGGGAATAAGTTTCCACTGCACTGCTAGCGGCATGCCAATGTCCACTTCACTGACCTCAGGCCCGTGCTGATGGTGTTCGTCGACGACAATCTGAACAGATTACATATCCGACATTTTTTTGCATTTTGGGCGCATAAAAGGGGAATTTCTTAAACTTACAATTAGCAAGACAAAGGTTATTGTTAGGTCACTCAAAATAAGGAGACATAGAAAAGTAGCGGAAAAGCAAGCGCGGATAGGGGCGGCAGGCCTTCTATACCTTTTCGGACAGAATACGTACTATTAGCTTGGTTTTCTCTGGCGATTTGGCAAACCTAGCCACAGATGAAGTTTTCGAGAAATTGAACAGAAGCCCGAGTGGTGAAAATCAGCGTCGGATTTTCGAATGAGGAAAGTGCCCTGCACAGATTTGAACCGTGCCGGACCAGTTGTTGCGGGTAATGATGTTCTCCAAATGCAAGGTGGATGATTCGCAGAGCCAGAAAACGGAAGAAATAGAAAAAAGTCGTGTTGTCATGGATGTCCCATTGATGTTCAAAGCTGCGTAAGAAAAAGCTGATGAAGTCAAGCACTGCATGTCTGATCACAGAGGCTGGACCCTTGTCGAGCTTTGCCGCGAGACTCCCTGCTGCAACTGTTGCCCGAGCTATGTTCGCTAAATTAAGGGGATCAAGAGAGTGTGCGCATGGGTGCTTAATTTTCTTGTAGAAGCACGGAACGCAGTACGGATCCTATGCCTGTAGTAGTAATGTTCCCCACATAGGATGTCATTCACGACGGTGAAATTCCAGGCGGCCCCATACAGAGAACAAAACCGTCGCTGTCGGTGGTCCATTGCCTGTTCTTCGACAATCAGATCGACAAATGGATGGTACCACACAACTAAGGAAGGCCACCGTTGCTCGTCATAGTGCCAGACCCCGAGTAACTGTATTGTAGGGCAGTGCTGGGACACAAACAATACTGAGACCTGGGTTCAATCGCCCCATTCGCCCAACATAAAGCCGTTCGATTCCAACTGTTCTGGTCAGTCGAGGGTACTCTCCGACGGCAAACGCTACAATGTTTTGTCATTCGCCGAAATTGGCATCAACAGCAATTTACTCGCACTTGTTGAAAAATCGAAGGTACCAGAGGTCCAAAGGCTTTCGGGGCACTGGGAGCGGGTCATTGGTGAAGGAGATCTACCTACCTTGATGCCAAAGTATTAACTTTTTATCTAATTTCTCTTCGTTATATATGCATAACCTTCTACATTTTTGAATGAAATATGATAGGAGAGACTATTTAGGTGACGGATAGCGGCTTAAAATAATCTCTTGTCACATCCTACACGGCAAAGCTAATCGTTTTTTGTTGGGAGGTTCCACGAAGTCAATTGCTTGTAACTCTAGGACGAACCTTCATCTCCACCTGAGGTAATGGAGCTTTTTGTTCAAGTTTCGTCGCGACGAGTCTCAGCCTGTAAACAAAATGGTTTTCTGGGAGTAAGGTGCTTCACCTTATTTTGCATGGATAATTGGGCCTTGGCTCCTAGATTTTTTCAACGTACTCCTCGAGCGCTTCTTCGATTCGGTGAGGCAGAGTCTGCTTGTCGTAGTGAATCTTTTGATGAACACATTGCGCCATGAATGATTGGACTGTAGAAGTACCGTCGGACTGTTGGATGACCATCACTACCTGAGATTTAAGCATTTTCAATGAAGCCGAAGACAGCAGTAAATTTTTGGTAAAAACGATGTCACCATGCGTGTATCACCACACCATATACACCAAAGCACATCATCAAGTAATCCGAAAATTTTCCAGGAGTCTGGATGTTCCACTCATAGAAATACCATTCATGTCAAGGGCAGCCTTTTTTTGAGAAGGTGGTGCGATCCTGAGCCCGCGACACTTCATTCGGTGAAGTATACGACAACTAGAACATTTTGTGGGGATTTTGGCATGAAAAACCAGAGCGTAGAGAAATAGAAACAGCTTAGCGCGGCTCCTAAGGCATCGGCAAGTGCCAAAAGCTTGTCGCGGGCCGTGGATGAGCTTTCTGCGCGAAGAAGACGATGTGGAGATGGAGCCATTATCACGGGTGAAAAGTTGGAATGTGCAAGGACACAGTGGTTAGAAAATGGTTGTAGAAGTAAGGGGGCAGAGAAAAACAGAAAACTAACGCCATTAAAGGGGTCGAGCTTAAGTTGTTCATAGACCCACAGAAGGCTGCTCTGACTGCGTTCCTATCCACCCTCCTGCCACTTCTCTCTCGTCGTATTGCATGAATTTGATAACGTACATACTTGAGCTTTGCGCCCTCATATTTCTATTTCTCAGCAAGAATTTGAGCGAAATTTGCCTCTAGAAGTTTATTTTGCTACAAATAAGTATGCTGCAACAGTCGTTTGAACATGCTCACATCGTTGAGGCTTACACCAACGCCCACAGACCAGTGGACCCGACGCACAGAAAGTGCATCTCGCCAGTCTGGAAACCCACATTACAAGGAGCGGGAGAGGGCAGGTTTTACCAGCCCGTTCTTCACCAATTCTCGGAGCTAGCAAGCTTGACCACAGCTGCCGTGAGAGATTAGCAGGCTGCGCCAGGACCCAACCTTCTCCCACGACCTAGCGTGAGCAGCGATCAAAGACGGCAGCCATCGGCACCGCAGAGCGGTGATTATGTGATTTCGCGAAGCGATCCTTCGCTATAAAGATACCACATTTGCGATCAGTGGATCAAACATTCCCTGGAGCCAAAAATGTCACCGGCATGATATGTTCGGAGGATAATCCCCCTCCGGAATTTCTATCACCGTTTGGCTTGTGGCTGCGGGCTATAACACTGTTCTAAATATATCACAGACGTGTAGTTATTTGCACTTTCATTAACCAACCCACTGCTCCTACTGGCAAAATAGCTCTCGCTCCTAAAATTGACATTCTTATCAATATAGCTCCTGACTGAGCGTCACACTTATAAACAAATACGGTCTTGGTTTGCGCAGTTGAACAAAGCATCGGAAAATTATTGCCATTACAAACCGTGCATAGCCGTACTGCAGCTCTGTTTGCTGTCCTGTTTGGTCACCAGGCGCCTCCGTTCTTGACTCCACAATCGGCAAACGGCCAAGAAAACTGGGATTTTACCGGCTAGTTGACGAGATCCTGCTACACCCACTGAGAGTCTTTGGAATAGAGCAATTCGGTTGCTCAATCCGCACAAGAACCTTCATTCAGTCCACCGAGCACGGGGGCGCATGATTGGTGACAGGAACCGCAGAACTGGCGTTGCTGCTTAGGTTCAATGCATCCCATCTAGATGCTTTTTTGCAAAGTTCCCAGGATTTCGGCAGAGTTTTTGCGCGTGCTGAATAACAGCTCTTGATAAAAAAAAAGTGTTTTTGTTAAGATAACGGCAAATAGCACGAAGAAGGGTACATCATCGTGTTTGGAAGTTATCAGCGTCAGTGAATCCCGACTTACCATCCACCCTAACAAGGGCTTACGTAACGACACCCAATCTATCTACCATCTCACGGGATATTTTTCCAAAACTTAGACAGTCGAGTGCTGGGGGAGGTACACGGCCCTCCGTGGACAATTGGGAGAAGCAATTTTCACTTTTTGCTGGTTATTTTTGCTTGAATCATGTTAACTAGCTGTTTCTCTTTGGTAAGACCTGTGAACTCTTGTGGAACCGTGAAATGGTGCCACTGAACCGGTTTGGTCACAATAATTCTACTGTATATATAGTGTAAATGCGTCTGGAAAACGGTATAAATTGCGCCGCGACAAAAAGGGGCGGAGTTGTCTGGTCCCCGGTCCTGGGGGGCATGTAATGGCAGATGCAAAGTAATGTAGTGTGCTTGATAGAAAATGTGTGTGCAGGGCTCTTCATACAGAATTTGCAAAAAAGAGCCGCTTCGCGGAAAAATTATAAGTAAATTATAATGATAATTATAATTCACATGTCTCCAGAACGTGACCTGTAGAATCTTCTAACATCACATATTGATGCTCCTTATCAGCCGAACCGCGGTCTCCAATCATCCACGGCTGGCGACCGGATATGGCTTAGGAAGCACAAACGGAGAGGGGACATATAGACCTCTTTATGGGTTTGGCATTGCAATCATCTATGTTGGCTTTAACCCTGCTCCAGTAGATAATCGTCACATACCTGGTTATTCAAACCTGAACATATCGTTAGTGTGTGGGTCACACTTATCGAAGATTTGAAAGGCCGTGTCCCCCCAAACGGCCTTGTTGGGACTGAAACTTGGGATAATCGACAGACAAGCTTGTCATTGTATCCTTTCTTTAAACTGGCCGTTCACGTCAGCAGATTATGGGAAAGAGCCGCTATTGAAAGGGACGAAAAGGCGAAAGTATACGGCATGGCTGCGAGGCTATTACAAGAGCAATCAATAAATGGCTTCCACTTCCTTCTGTAACTTTGTTGGTCCAAGATAAGTAATCTACAAATTACGCGAAAAGCACATGCAACTGTGGACTGGCAATGCGACCCTGGGGCCGTGGTTCGCTTCAGAGGATGGTTGAACAAACTCGATCATTTCAATTCATTCAGATATTTCCCAATTCTGAACAGCGCCTGTTGAAACAGCATTAGGCTACCGTGCACGGTTCCATGGGGCTGGCTGGCGACAAAGCAAAGTATCGCCCAGGCCAAGTGATGAGTTTACTAGGTTACGTCACTAACCTTGACACTCGCTTTCTTTCGTTGGCGAAAATCTGTCCAGTGAATGGGAACAACGTAGTGGCGCTAAACTCGATACCATCTTCCTTACAAATCACATGTACTTTGCCTGAAAGTGAGTACGACGAACATCTGTAATACGATAGAATAATGTTTCGATGCTGAGTTTGTTCGTGGCTGAGGAGCATTTGGGTTCTAATTAGCAGGGAAATGTTTGACCAAAGTCAGAGTTCATAAACATTATCAGTACGAGTAGCAAATCCACAGTGAGCTATTCAACAAAATTCAAACTATCTTGACAAACTGAGGGATTTTGTAAGCAATTAAAAGACATAGCTTAGGATGGAGTTTCCTGGAGAGCACAGTATTTGGGAAAAGATCGGGAACGTTGCCTTTGGCAGCTCTTATCGTAAGAGCTTCCTGTGTCAGTTAATCAGTTTGGTCCTCCTACTCCCGTGATCTTCTTGGAAATACGTTCAATAGAACGCACCCCAATTCTACATTAATATTCTGAAACCCGGCGACACTTGAGGTCAAGTACCGGGGCTCAAAATGGCGAAGGATGCCAGGCAATCAAGCTAACACTTTTTTTATGTCCCTGGGTTTAGATGTCCCAACCTTGACTATGAGCGTCATCGCTGCGGAAAACCGCGGTATTCTCGCTCTTGTAATGAACCCATGAAGCACGACACTTTACTAACTGCTTATTATGCAGGGCATGGACTAGTTGGTCTCGCAGGCCCAGAGCTGTTCGGGGATCCCACCGTAGGGTGGTATTTGGGCTTGCTTGTTATTCACGTGCACTATATTTAGACTAGTCGGCCGCGTCGCGACTACTACTTCTTCGATCGGAGGCGTCTCCACCCCTCCCTCCCACAGATGTCGAAAGGTTTGCTGAGATGATCAGTGGCTGTGGAAGGGGAGTTGTTCACCGAAAAAGAATCGGGGTGGGGGTCGTACTTGGCAAAAAAATTTTTCCACAGTAGAACGTGCCCTGATCAGTATGAATAACTCCTACTCTTTCATCTTATGGTCAGCTCATTTCAATTCCATTTAGCTTGAGGTCATTGTTTCATTCTTTTAGTAGAGCTCCGTACCAACTAACAGAATCCGAGTAATGCAAAGCCTACGAGGTCACTTGGGCTAATCATAAAGCCCCGAGCACGCAGTCATCAGCAACGATTTGGTCCACAAGGTTTGCCGTCCTCACTGCTGTACGACAAAATTGATTTACTCCAGTTTTCGGCATTTTCTCGCATTATTTCTACGAGACTGAGCGAGATGAGATGGACAACAAATCCAAATTCTTGGAGTAACCGCGAATCCTGAGCAAATTGACCGCAACTAACCTCTCACTCGGTTTGGAACTTGAGATTTGACAGTTGTGCCCTTCACGGCTACTCCTGTGTCCAGTGAGTAGTTCGGGGAAGGAGTTGTCACACTTTCGCTGGAATGGAATGTAAGTTATTTAAATGTGACATCCTTGAGAAATCAAAGTGATCCTTCCTAAGAGATAAGCAGTTTTCTAAATTCACATATTTACAAGATAGTCTATAATAACTATGAACTAGAAAAGTTTCCAAAAAGTAGAACACTTGGGAGCAGTCATTATATCCACTTAGCCTATCGCTATGATTAGAACTATATCATTCAATCGTTTCCACACGCACGGTCCACGCTGGTGCACATGGGCGGAGTCCGGCCCATGACTGGGCCTCCTTCATTGGTTCTCTTCGCTTTCGTACTCAGGAAGCAGACAGACTCACGGGGAGGCTTCAATCCCCCAATGCAACCAGCGTGGACTATTCTGAACCACGCTTGAATTATTAGTGGAATGAAGAACACTAACGTACCTTGGTGGAATTTCTCTGGAGGGCTGGAACGGAGTGAACTGCTCAGAAGGGGTCGATGATCCTCGAGTTGGAGTCACTGTGAACTCCTGAGAATTTGCTGTTGGCG